TTGGGGACGCCCGTCGAGCGGCCGAACATGTCGCGCCCGCCCGCACCCTTCTCCACCGCGCTCATCCCGCCGACGTCGTACAGCGCGCGCCGCTCGCCGTCCGAGAGCACCTCGTACGCCGACGTGAGCTCCTTGAACGCGGCGGTGTCGCCTCCCTTGTCGGGGTGGTGCTTGACGCTCAGCCGGCGGTACGCCTTCTTGATCTCGGCGTCCGTGGCGCTCTCGTCGACGCCGAGCACAGCGTACAGGTCGCGCTGCTGCTGCTGCTGCTGCTGCCGACGCTGCTGCTGCCGCCGCTGCTGCTGCTGCTGCTGCTGCTGCTGCTGCTGCTGACTGCCGCTTTCGCCGTCGAACCAGCCGGCAGAGGTGGCGGCCACCAAAAAAACAGCGGTGGCGGCCAGCGATCTCGCGCTCATGAATGCAGAGGGCGGAGCTGTGGAGGCCAGCGCCGCGGCGCTGCTGAACTACGAGTGGCGGCGCTGCTGAACTTCAGAGCGTCGGAACCAAAGAATTTTACTATCCAAGCCCCTCTCACAGCAGACTGGCTCGGACTGGCACTACAAATGGCACAGCAGGCGACGGCCCCTTACGGGTCGTCAAAGAGGCCGGCGTACTCCTCCGGCCGCTCCTCCCCCTCCCAATCCTCCCCGGGCTCTGGCTCCTCCTCCTTCGCCCGCGCCCTCGCCCCCCGCCGCGGCGAACCAAAGAATTTCAGAAGAAACATGAAAGCTCTCGCACCGGCCGCGAGGTGGCATGAAGGTTGCAGCGAGAAGCGGCGAGAGACTGCGAAAAGAGATAGGAAGAGGCAGACCCCCTAGGGTGGGCGACGGCTAGCGCATCACACCCCTCTCCTTAAAATCCCTGTGTGGTGGCGGCGTGCCGCCCTCCGCCCCCTCCCATCCCTCCCTTGGGTTGTCTGTTTTCTTTCCTTCTTTCTTTTGCACGATTCACACGACAGACAAGGCGCAGACGACGGCTTCCTTAGAAGCCATCGTCCTCGCCACAAGAGCCGGCGTCCGAAATCCCCTCCTCCGACACCCGCCCCACCCCACCCCACCCCGGACCCCTCCCCAAAGCCCCACCCCGTCCCGACCCACCCCGCCCTCCCCGCCGGACCCTCCCCAAAGCCGCAATCGACTCCGCCCCCCATCTGCGCGTGCGCTCGCCACCCGCGCCGCCGTCTCCCCCATGCGCACTTGCGCCAGCAGCCGTCCCGCCTGGCGCCTCGCCCGCCGCCCGCCGCCTCGCCCGGTCCTCACCGACGCCCGCCCGCTCGACCGCCGCCTCCGCTGGCGTCCTGACAGCCGCCCCGCCCGCCACCTGATCCTGGATTGCACTCACCTGGGAATAAAAGAACGGAGTGCCGGCCACGCCCGAGACGAGCTCGGGCGATTTACCTCCGACAGTCGCGTGAACGTGTTAAGGTGGCGTCGCCGAGGCGCCGCAGGGCAACCTTCTTGCGCTCCGCCTCCGACGCCATGTGTGTTACTTTCGTGCCTGTGCTACATGCGGGACGCCCCTCGTCGCACGGTGAGTGGGAGGAGGTGCGAAGCGAGGGCATCAGTGGCGCAGCCGGCGTCCGCGAGACTGGTGCTTGACGCGAGTGTAGCGCCGGGCTTTGAGCGGGTGCATACTCTTGTCGGGCAAGAAGAATAAGAACCTGCCAAGAAAAGGGGCAAGAAGAATAAGAAGGGCGGCGAGGGCGGCGCTGGGCCGTCGCAAGAGCCCGCGGCGCCGGCAGAGGAGGCGGCGGAGGAGGCGGTGGCGGCGACGGAGGAGGCGGAGCTGGCGTCAGCGCTCGAGATCATTTTGTGGTGGTCGTGGTGGTGGTGTGGAAACGGGGCTCGTCGAGCCGCCGCCGTCCGCCTCGCCGTCGTCGCCGCCGCCGCCGTCCGCCTCGCCGTCACCGCCGCCGCCGTCCGCCTCGCCGTCCTCGCCGCCGCCTCCGTCCGCCTCGCCCTCGCCGCCGCCTCACTCCGCCTCGCCGTCGCCGCCGCCTCCGTCCGCGTCGCTCCGTACCGAGGGAGGAGGAGCCGCCGGCCGACTTCATCTGCCCGATCACGACCGAGCTCATGAGTGCCCGGTGATGGCGGCGGACGGGCATTCGTACGAGCGGACGGCGATCGAGCGCTGGCTCGCGACCAAGTCGACGAGCCCGCCCGATGACAGGCGAGGCGCTCATGCAAAGCTTCCTCGCCCCCAACACGCTGCGCCTGATGATCCGGGAGTGGCAGCAGACGCGGGCGTGAACGCTCGCACACACGGTTTGGTGCTCCGTTGCTTTCGCTGCCGTCCTTTTCCCTCCTGGTCGTGCGCCAGATAGTGGTGCTAGCCGTCGCCGATCCGACATCCGTCATCCGTGGTCATGCACTATCTTGGAGCACTTGGCTATTTCTCGATCTATTTGAGGTCTTTGGAATCTTTGTCTTCAGTTGGAAAAAGCTTGTCAGTGAGGATTTTTTGAGGTGCTCAACGATGTTGATCTCTTTCAAGTCTCATAGCGGCGAGGGACCGAAAACGGACCGTCTGCGCGGGCGTGGCGAAGTGGGTCGCGTCCTCCGATTTCCTCATACCTCAACTCAGTGCCACAGTGGAACTCAGCCTCCACATCCTCTACGTATCTCAAATACTCGTTTGCCTCTCTCCATGCGCGCAAAAATACCCAACTGCTTGTGAGCGGCGCCTTGCCCGCACCCCGTGTGTCCCTACGGCTCTACCCGCGTGCGTGCGCGGCCTTTGCGTTCCGCCCTCCGCCCCTCCCCCGCGCTCTGTACAAGCTTCTTCGCCGCGCTCCCTCCCGGCGTTTCGGCCGCGAGCGCGAGGCTGCCGCGCGCGCCTCACAGCCCTCCGAAGAGCCTCGCCAGCAGCAGAAAAGAAAACAGGGCTGGCTGCCCTCCGAAGAGCTTCGCCAGCAGCAGAAAAGAAAACAGGGCTCACAGCCCTCCGAAGAGCTTCGCCAGCAGCGCGTCGGCTTGCCTCAGCAGGCCTCCGTCGGCGGACGCCACGCCGAGGGCGGCGTGCGCATCCTACGTACCATACCTCCAGGGTATCGAATCCAGTGTGGGTTCACCGTTCTGTGGGTGGTGCGGTAGCAACGGTGCGGCGTGCGCATCCTGCGCCATGCATGGACAGGCCGAGGTCAGGGCGGGAGCACGGTGCTGCGCAGAGGACTCAAGAGCACCGCGTGGGTACGAGGGCGGTGCGAGGACAGCGGATGCAGCCGAATGCAGCCGAATGCAGCGGAGTACGTGCGTGCGTGTGCGTGACCTCCCGCGCGCTCGCTGGAAGGCATGCGTACGGAAGCCGAGATATAGCCGAAATGTAGCCGAGATGCAGCCGAGATGTAGCCGAGATATAGCCGAGATGCAGCCGAGATGTAGCCGAGATGTAGCCGAGATGTAGCCGAAATGTAGCCGAGATGCAGCCGAGATGTAGCCGAGATGTAGCCGAAATGTAGCCGAGAGGCAGCCGAGATGTAGCCGAGATGTAGCCGAGATGTAGCCGAGATGCAGCCGAGATGTAGCCGAGATGCAGCCGAGATGTAGCCGCGATGCGTGCACGGAGCCCGCGTCTAGGGGGCGGGACCTGGATCGACTCGCTGAGCGAGCGGTCGGAGGAGAGGCCTAGCTGCTGCCTATGGGGAGATCTGGGGAGATCTGGGGAGATCTGGGGAGATCTGGTCGGAGGAGACGCCGAAGCGGCTGCCGGATCAGCGCGACCTTTCCTGGCAGCGGCGCCGACGCGAGCGCGGCGGGCAAGCCCCACGCCACCTCGGGAGGCTTCTCGGGCGGCGGCGGCGGCGGCTGCGGCGGCTGCGGCGGCTGCGGCGGCGGCGGCGGCTGCCGTTTTGGGGGCGGCAGCTGGGAGGGCGGCGGCTGCGGCGGCTGCGGCGGCTGCGGCGGCTGCGGCGGCTGCGGCGGCGATGCGGTCGCGTAGTGCTCGTCGAAGAGAGAGCGGGTGGCCTACGTGTGTCCCATACCCCAGGGTGTCGAATCCGGTGTGGGTTCAGTCCCGTGGGTGGTGTGGTAGCAAAGGTGCGGCGAGGGCGATCCTACGCGCTGGATATACGCCGCCGTCGGGGCGGGAAGGCGGGATGGTGGAGAACATTCAGAGCACCGCGTGAGCACGAGGGAGGCGAATCCAGCGAATACGGCGGAGTGCAGCTGAGCAGAGCCGAACGCGTGTCCGCTCGGAGCGCTGGTTGGAGTGCAAGAACTCTTCTTCGGCTTCTAGCGGCGTGCGTAAGGGGCCGTTGCCTGCTGTGCCTTTTGTGGTGCTAGTTCGTGCCAGTCTGCTGTGAGAGGGGCTTTGTACTCGTAGAATTCTAGCGGCGTGCGGCCCTCGCGGGCCTCGCGGCGGCGCCCTCCTCGTCCGAGTCCAGGTCGAGGTCCAGATCTCGGAGGTCGAGATCGAGATCTCCCTCGAGATCGAGATCTCCACCGAGGTCGAGGGGGGGCAGCCGCAGCTGCAAGTCCAGCGGGTCGCACTCGGCGTCGGCGTCGGCGGCCGCCAGCGGCGCCCCGCCCGCGGCCTTTCCCCAGCCCGCGTCCCACGCTCGGCCTCCCAATGCTGCCACCTGCGCCACCGCGGCCCCCGCGGCCGCCTGCGCGGTACCGGGACCGGCACCGCCGCCCGCCGCATCCGCCCAACTCGCGCCGCCGGCGCCGCGGCCGTTCCCCGCCGCCATCCGCGCCGCACTACTCCCTGGCCCTCCTCCTAGTCCTGCGCCTCCTAGTCCCGCCCCCCCTCCGCCTCCGCCTCCGCCTCCGCCTCCGCCTCCCCCTCCGCCGCCCCCTCCTCCGCCGCCTCCTCCGCCGCCTCTGCTGCCCACCGCCTGCGGCGGCCGAATCCCGACCGCGCCGCCGCTGCCGTTCCGCCATGCCATCGGCGGCGCGTCGGCGTCTCGCGCCTGCCCAATCGCGCCCAGACTGCCCGAGATCGCGCCCTTGCTGCCCGCGGAGGGGGAGCTGCCCGCCGCCGCCGCCGCCCGCTCGAGAGCGTCAAACGCCTCGTCTGGGGAAGCCTTTGCGCTCCAGGCCGCTACGGTGTCGGGGCTGCGTCCGCTGAGCGGGGAGGCCTTGCTGCGGTCGTGAGCAAACGAGCAGCGCGGGAAGGGGCAGGCGCCGGTGGCGGCGAAGTGCTTACACGTCGGGCGCATGTCGGTGTACAGCCGAAGCTCCTTCTCCCCGTGCGCAAAGGCGCATCGGACGCCGTAGGGGCAGGAGCCGGCCGCGAAGTGCTTGCACAGCGTGGTCTTGTAGCGCGGGTCCTCGACTGACGAGGGCGGCGGCGCCCCGCCGCCGGCGGCGAGCGCAGCAGAAGGCCCTTCCTTTGGCTCGCCGCACCGGTTGCAGTTGTACTTGTACGCGAAGTTGTGCTGGTCGCACACAGGGCACGTCCAGTCCCCGCTCCTCGTCTCATCCCCACCCGCCTCGCCCTTTGTCCCCTCTGACGCCGTGGCCGTCGCCGACCACGGCTGTAGACTACGGCACGTCTTCTTATCATGACCTGTTTGACCACAGCGAAGGCAAAAATAGACGTTACATCCGCGCGCGAGGCAGACGGCCATACCCGCCTTGTTCTTGCGGCCGCAGCGGCAGATCCAATCTCTGCTTACGTCCTGGGCGATCAGCGCCCCGCTGACGCCGGGACGCATATGTGTGTTGGGAGTCGCAACCAGAGAGGGAATAGCAGCCGCCGTGGCACTTGCAGAGTGTGACAACTTCTCACAAACTAAAAGAATTCAACCAACCATACACACACACACACACACCCCTTGGGTTGTGTGTTTTCTTTCTTTACACACCTCACAGCACACAGGAGTGTCTTGTGTTGCTGTGTGCTGCACGCCCTGCGAGCGGGGCGGGGTGCGCACTGTCCCTCTGTGTTCGTGCGTCGCCCATCTCTCCTGGAGATGTCTGCTCTATTTATTTATTTATACACAGGTTCGACACAGGTACGACACAGCACCAAAAGAGGCACAGTCGCGGGGGCGCCTACACGAAGTTTTACAACAAAACTCCCTCGCACAACACTGGGCACGGGACTGGCGCGCACTGGCACTAACACAGGTACACCACGGGAGCCGCCTAAGCGACTCCCGCGAGGACGGCGAGGCACTTAGCTCCGTGCACTCGACCGCCCTCGCCGCTGGCAAGCTCATTCACAATCTGCTCTGCGATTGCCGTGTTAAGAACGACTGAGATGCGCTGCTTCTGTAAGCCCCACCCAGCTCTTGGTGGTCCAAGTCACCTCATCGAGGTACTGGGCCCGCGTCAGCTTGTTCTGCAGCACGTTCGCCGCCCCCCAGAGGATCTCGCCGACCCCCTTCCCAAACCCACCGAACGACTCGAACAGCAGCAGCCGCACGGCGACGTCCTTGTCCTCCCTGGCGTAGCGATACTCGCTGCCATAGGACGGTATGCGGCGATCGCCGCCCACTACCCTGCCCCCCCTAGTATGCCATCGACCAGTCCCCTGCCCCCTCTCGCCCTTGCTCCTTCCTCTCTCCCTCCATTCCCTCGCCCCCATACCCCTCACACTCCACTCCATCCCCCTCCCCCTCCCCCTCGCCTCCCTCTCCCTCCGCGCGGTAGGGCCCATGCCCCTCGACCATGTTCCGGTAGAATGATTCGGTGTTGCCGAAGGCGACAAAAGCGCCCTTCCGACCATGCTCCCCGCCGCTGGTGAGGGGGCAGACAACCTTGACATCGCCTGAAAAGCGCTTGCCGCCCCTGCCAATGTTACGCGTCCACGTCGGGTTGTTTGTTGTAACTCTGACCGAGGTGGCCTTTCGGCTCCATTCGCACAGCGGTGCCCCACGCGGCGCGTAGGGCGAGGATGAGGCGCTGAAGTGTACACACTTCTGTCTGGTGTTGTGGCTCTGCGAGCCAGTGAAACAAGGACCTCGATGCACGATGATGTCACACCGCGAAGAAAAAGAATCTTGAAAAGGAAATCAAGCCTCTCTCACAGGCCACATCCTCCCCGTCGATATCCACCTCGAGAACCTCGAGAACCCCCCCCCAGCACGCCTACGCGTCCTCTCGCTGCCTACTCGCTGCCTCGGGGGAGGAGGGGAAGAAGTCGAGCGGGCGCCACTGCGCTCGCCGTCCCGAGGCCCCTCCCCGAAAGGCAAGTATTAGACCCACGAAACCGAGACCCCTCCCCACCGCCCCGATCCCCCCACCCCCTTGCTCCCCTCCCCCCCTCGGGAGGGCCGAACTGAGGCGCCCGTGCGTGGGGACCCCACAATTCCCTTCCCCCCTCGGAGGGCCGGACTGAGGCGTCGAGGGCCCCGCTCTTTCCTTCGCATAGCGGCCACTCTTCGGATCGCTGGTCGAGCGACCCGGGGGATGCCCCGCGCGCCTGACCCAGGCGCGAAAACGAATCTGCGAGGCGTGGCCGCACATGCGGCCCGATGGGGAGGAACGGGGCGAGCCCCCTCCAACCCACCCGCGCTCGGTCTCGGGTTTGACGCATGGGGTCACTCCCGCGAAACTCGTGAACTAGCCGGGGCAGTCGGAGAAGGGGCAACTCCGTGCACTGACGGTCGGCCGTCAGAAAACACGCCTCCGTGGCTCGGGTTACACCAATCCTCGCTACCCAACGCGGCCAAAGGATATCCACCTCGAGAACCTCGAGAACCTACGCGTAATTTTTTTGTGGCATCCCAGAGTGAAGAAGCGTGTGCACGGAATGCCTGCACCGTCGCCTGCTCCTTCGCACCGCTGCGGCAACGGCGACCGATCAAAGCACGGTCTACCCCTGTCGTCCCACCCCAAGTGCAGCAGGAGCTCACACAGAAGGTTAATGCAACGGTGGCGTGCGCTGCTGCAGGACGTCGCTTCCTACCTCGCGGTTCGCTGCCTCGAGCTGCTCGCTCGGGCGGTGCCGCTGGCCGCTGTCCTTCCCGCCGGCCGGGCTTGCGGCTGGCTAGTGGCCCGTGCTGGCGGGTGGCGCACCGGCGTGGTGCGGTCCAACGTGCGCAGCCTCTGCAGCAGTGGGGAGGAGGCCGCGGCGCTCGGGCGGCGCTCGCTGCTACACCTCGGCCAGGCGATTCTACTCACGCTGCAGCCGCCGTCGCGAGACGAGACGCTCCGCCGCGCGCTGCGGTGCGACCCGCAGTGCGGCGCCGCGCTGGCGGAGCTGGTCGAGGACCCTAGAAGCTGAAGCTGTTCATGCATTCCAACTAGCGCCCGAGAGGACGCGTATGCAGCCGTACTCGACCGCCCTCCGCCATGCTCACCGTCTTCGCACCCCTCGTATCCACGCGGTGCTCTGAATGCTCGGCACGAGACCGTACGCCCACCCCGACGCACTCATGGCGTAGGTCGAGGACGCGCGCGCGGGCGGCGTGGTTGTCTGCTCGGCGCACATCGGCGTGTGGGAACTGCTGCCGCGGCTGCTGGCGGCGCAGCTGCCGCAGTGCGCCGTCGAGCAGGGGCGGCTGGTGTACAGGTGAGACCGCCGAGAGACCGCCGAGAGACCGCCGAGCTCTCTCTCTCTCTCTCTCTCTCTCTCTCTCTCTCTCTCTCTCTCTCTCTCTCTCTCTCTCTCTCTCTCTCTCTCTCTCTCACCTTCCCTCTTGAGACAGCCGAGAGACCGCCGAGAGACGGCCGAGAGACGGCCGAGAGTACTGCCCTGCCCGCACCCACTGCCCTGCCCTGCCCTGCGATGCCGTTCCCTACCTGCCCTGCCGTGAAACCCACACTGCCCTGCCCTGCCCTGCGATGCCGTTCCCTACCTGCCCTGCCGTGAAACCCACACTGCCCTGCCCTGCCCTGCCCACACTGCCGTGCTGTGAAGAGCCGGGGTCCCGCACCTGCCCGGGGGCCCGAATCCCGTCTACAAGTCTGGCGTAAGCACAGGCCGCTGCACAGCCGGCTCCTCGACCGCTGGCTGCGGGCGCGGCGACGCGGCGCCGGCCTGGCGCTCGCGCCGACGCACAGTACCCTACCATCCCGGTACCCAAACCCAGTCTGAAAAGAAGTAGGGCTGGCGCTGCTCGCGGATCACGGCTGCCTTGCCCAGACTCGCTGCAGCGGAACCTTCTCGGAACCGTCTCGGGACCGGCCCGGAAGCCTCCTCCAGGCTGCCTCGCCTCGCTGCGGCGGGCGGTGGCGCGCGGGGGCCTCGTCGGCTTGCTGCCAGACCAGAGACCGAGCCGGCCACTGCCCAGCCCGCCCCGTGCCAGGACATGTCCAGCGTCTGTCCTGGACATGTCCGAGACATGCCCCCATTAGGCCACCCGCCGCCCGCGCGTCTTTCCTCGGCCGCCCCGCCCTCTTCTCGACCGGTCTCTCGCCTCGCCGAGAGATCGCCGAGAGATCGCCGAGAGATCGCCGAGGCAGAGCCGAGAGATCGCCGAGGCAGAGCCGAGAGATCGCCGAGGCAGAGCCGAGGCAGAGCCGAGAGATCGCCGAGGCAGAGCCGAGGCAGAGCCGAGGCAGAGCCGAGGCAGAGCCGAGAGATCGCCGAGGCAGAGCCGAGAGATCGCCGAGGCAGAGCCGAGAGATCGCTGAGGCAGAGCCGAGGCAGAGCCGAGGCAGAGCCGAGGCAGAGCCGAGGCAGAGCCGAGGCAGAGCCGAGGCAGAGCCGAGAGATCGCCGAGGCAGAGCCGAGGCAGAGCCGAGGCAGAGCCGAGGCAGAGCCGAGGCAGAGCCGAGGCAGAGCCGAGGCAGAGCCGAGGCAGAGCCGAGGCAGAGCCGAGAGATCGCCGAGGCAGAGCCGAGGTGCGGCGGAGGCTCAGCCCTGAGGCTCAGCTCAGCTCGTCCGGCGAGAACTGATTCCATCGCATGATTGAAGACACACGGATACACCTTTTGTGGGCAGCCTGCCCCTCCCCCCCGAGTGTGTGAGTGGAGAGGCTACACCTCCCCTTGTCACCGTCAGGCATCGCCCGCTTGCACGCGGCGACCGGGGCGCCGGTGCCCAGAAGCGGAAGACGTCTTCTCGTACTCCAACCAGCGCTCGAGAGGACACACCTCCCCATATCTCCCCCATATCTCCCCCATATCTCCCCCATATCTCCCCCATATCTCCCCCATATCTCCCCCACATCTCCCCCATATCTAGCACTCGAGAGGACACGCATTCCGCCGTATTCGGTCGTATTCCGCGGTATTCCCTGCGTTCGTACCCCTCGTATGCAGCACGCCGGCGCCGGTTTGGGTTGTGCAGCGGCCTGTTCACAGCTAGAGGTGTGAAGAGACGCTGTTCACAGGCGCCGGTGTGGTTCGCTGCGCTGCTGCTCGTCGATCAGGGCGAGGCCGAGGGCAGTGGAGGGGCGGCGGGAGGCGGCGGCGAGGCTGACGGCGGCGGCGAGGCGGGCTTCGTGCTGCGACTCGTACTGGAGCGGAGCCCTAGAAGCAGACTACGCGGTTGCGTGTTCCGACTAGCGCTCGAGAGGACACGTGTTCAGCTGCATGCGGCCGTCTCCCGCGGGGGTCACTGTGTGCGCAGCCCTCGTGTGCTCACGCGGTGCTCTGAGTACCCTCGGCGTCTTGCATGGCGTAGTCCTGCCCTTACCTCGGCGTCTTCATGGCGTAGTCCTGCCCTTACCTCGGCGTCTTGCATGGCGTAGTCCTGCCCTTACCTCGGCGTCTTGCATGGCGTAGTCCTGCCCTTACCTCGGCGTCTTCATGGCGTAGTCCTGCCCTTAGTCCTGCCCTTACCTCGGCGTCTTCATGGCGTAGTCCTGCCCTTACCTCGGCGTCTTCATGGCGTAGTCCTGCCCTTACCTCGGCGTCTTCATGGCGTAGTCCTGCCCTTACCTCGGCGTCTTCATGGCGTAGTCCTGCCCTTACCTCGGCGTCTTCATGGCGTAGTCCTGCCCTTACCTCGGCGTCTTCATGGCGTAGTCCTGCCCTTACCTCGGTGTCTTCATGGCGTAGTCCTGCCCTTACCTCGGCGTCTTCATGGCGTAGTCCTGCCCTTACCTCGGCGTCTTGATGGCGCACATGACGTAGGAGCGGCTCGCCGCGAGGCGATCTGGAGATGCAATCTCCGAGCGCGATGCGCGCTCGCGAGCCCTCCCCGCCGACGGGCAAGACGGCGCGGGAGAGGCGGAGGCGACGGTTGCGTCCGACGAGGGCCAGGGCGGCGGCGGGGGCGCGGAGGACCGCCTGACGCGGCGGTTGGTTGGCGCGTACGCCGACGCACTCACTCGCGCCGTCCGGGCGGCGCCGGCGCAGTACTTTTGGTGGCACCGCCGCTGGCGCGGGGAGGACGAGGAGCACGGGGCCGGTGTGTGAAGAATGAGGTGGGTGAAAATTGTATTCGTCTGTTTGCGCGGGCCAACTCTGCGCGCCCTGCTACAGTAGACCGGGTCGACAGCGTCCAGGGTAGGCTCCGCCCCACCTCGCTGTGATTCGGACTGAGCGACGGCAGGACCCTTTGAAATCATGAATGGCGGCGTTTGGTGAGGCCCCCACGGCCGGGGGCGGTAAGTGGGTGATAGGAGGGCCATAAATGACCATCGCACCGGCCATCGGACCCCTCCACCCCCCCAAACACAGTCCAAACCGGCCCCGGCGGCCGGCGGGACGCACGCCGGCGCAGCACCATCAAGCTGCTGTACGGCCCCGGCATTGCCTCTCCTGCCTTAGCTCTCAGTCAATATATTGTGCACATGATCTGTCTCTACAATATACACACTGACACTGTACCTCCCAGAGCTCGTCCCGGTCCGCCACGGCCATCCTCGTCCTCCGCGGCGCCGGCTCCGGCCTCTCCGCCGCACTGTGATGAGCGTCGGCAGGACCCTTTGAAATCATGAATGGCGGCGTCTGGAGAGGCCCCCATGGCCGGGGGCGGTAAGTGGGTGATAGGAGGGTGATAAACGACCATCACACTGGCCACCGGACCCCTCCACCCCCCCAAACACAGTCCAAACCGGCCCCGGCGGCCGGCGTGCAGGAGGCCGCCGGGGCGCACCAAACGGCCCGTCACGACCGCCACGCGGGCCACCACGGCCCGTCCCGGTGGCACGGGTGCCACCACGCACCCGCTCGACGCCCCCGGCCCGCCAGCTCCCGCTCCATGAGACTTCACCTCCGCCAGCGAGCCGCAGCGCGCCCCCCTTTCGCGCACTGCGGCCGCACGCCCGAGAATGGCGACGACGGTGGCACCGGCGGCAGCGACGGCGGGGCCGATGCTGTCTGGCAGTCGAGAGGCGGTTCGAACCGGCGCTTGCGCCTCGGCGGCCGGTCGATTGGGGAGGATGTCGATGGATCGAGCTCTTCGATGCTGGCGCCGTCGTCGGGCGAGGTGGAGGGCGGTGCAGCCGACGATGACGCAGTGGCGCCGCTGCCGGTTGCCGTCGAGGATGATGCAGCAGATGACGACGCAGCGGCACCATTGCCGTTGCCTGGCTGGGCGTAGGTTTTGTTTGTTTGATTGATGACAAGCTCCTCATTGAGAAGAGCATCCGCATGCGCAGCTCGGACGCGGTCCAAGGCGGTTGCTAAGTCACTGCTCCGCTCCGTGCGCGCCTGACGTCCAGACGAAAGAGTGCAGTGTCGCAAACGTTCGAACGTTCTCGTGTCGTCAGGGAGTTTTGTTGTAAAATTCTCGCCTAAGTAATTTAAAACTTCGCAACGTTCGTCTGGACGCACGTCGGGCAAGCCCATGACCAGGCGGGCTGCTGCTCGGAATCTTGGCGCTCGCTCTCGCGCTCTTCATAACGGCGTTGCCCCCTTCTGGGCCGTCTTGTTCTTGCTGCTCGGAGCATGCTGCGGCGAGCTGCTGAACGAGTGGATGTGGCCGCCGCGCTTCGGTGCGGCCTCGGAGGTGCGGGCGAAGCGAGTCAGGGCCACGGCCCGAGCTTGCCGCTTCCTTTGGCGCGACTACGACCCGCGCTTCCTCTTCTGGGAGGTCGTCGATCTGGGCCGCAAGCTCTTCCTCGCTTCGCTGGTGCTCTTCATCCAGACAGACACCGGGTCGAGCAAGCTCCTCCGCCTCTTCGTCGCCTCTGTCGTCTCGGCCCTCTACCTCGCCGCCCTCGCCCTCGCCCGGCCCTTCGAGCGTGACGACGACCTCTACCTCGCGTGCACCGCCAACCTGTTGCTCGCCTACTGCTTCATCTCCGGCATGGTGATTCAGCTGTGCGAGAGCGCCGCCTACGAGGACATGTGCAAGGCCCTCGTCGGCTTCGAGAGTGCGCGCGGAGCGAGTGAGTTTGTCATCGCGCTCACAGCCGCAATGCTCGCCGCATCACTGCTCGTCGTCCTCTTCAAGACTGTCAGCGCCGTCCGCGCACCCACCATCCGCCTCGCCTCCTCCGGCCGACCCCCAGTCCTCGAGCTGTCCCCCGAGTGCCACTTCCACGGCTTCATCTCGCACGCCTGGGGAACCGGCCAGGACCAGACGCACACCGTCGTGCGGCAGCTCCAGCTTCTTCTCCCCGGCGTCCGGATTTGGCTCGACGTCGACAATCTCGAGGACGTGGGCAGGCTCGAGGAGTCGGTGGCCGACGCGATGACCTTTCTCGTCTTCCTCAGCGCGGGATACTTCAAGAGCTTCAACTGTCGCCGCGAGCTGTACGCGGCGCTCGGCTCGAACCGGCCTTTCATCCCGATCCAGGAGGCTGACGTCGACAAGGGCGGCGCTTCGATCGAGGCGCTGAAGGCAGAGTGCCGCGAGCACTGCATCGAGACCGCTCCTGCTGCCTACCCCTCCTACAGCGGGCCAGACGAGATGCTCGCACGCGTGTTTGAGGAGGCGGAGCCAATCGTGTGGGTGCGGGTGAACGCCTTTCAGCTCGAGTCGCTCAAGGCCATCGCGCTGCGCATGCTGCTGCACTCTTCTTACTACGCGAGCCGCCCGGCCGAGCTTGCTGCAGGAGTGATGGTCCCTCGCCAACCGGGGCCCTGTGCCTTCAGCGGCCCCGTCACCATCCTCGTGTGCCGCAGCAACACGGGCGCGGACGGCATAGCAAGGGAGCTCAAGACGGCGGCTGGGGAGGCGCACGGCTCTGCTGCTGCCGATACTGATGCGATCGTGATGATCCGCGATGCGGAGGAGGCGCTCGAGGGAGCCGACGCGGCCCCGCTCTCCGGCCACGTGGTGTTCCTGCTCTACCTGAACGATAAGACCTTTCTGGACGCCGGCGGCGCCGTCGCGCGCCTCGTGCAAGCGGCGATGGACCGGCGCATTGCCATCGCCCCGATCCACGAGCAGGAGCCTGCGAGGGGCGGCGTTCCATTCCGCAACTTTTTCCAGCAGACGCCGCAGGTGCTGCAGCAGCCGCCGTACAAGCTCTACGACACGGTGGCGGTGTCACTCTACCCGTCGGTGGAGCACCGCAGGGTGAGCTTACGGCTCGTGCTGCGCAGCATGGGCGCGGTGCCGTGCGACGCGGGGCCGCTCTGGCGGCGTTGGCAGCTCCTTCGCCGCCGCATGGCGGTGGCGCGCCTCGTGCAGCGGAGCCCCGCCGAGCCGCGCCAGGAGCCGTTAGTGCAGCCGTAGGACATGTGCATGCGACCACGCACGACTGGCATCGCTAAAAATCTTCCTACACCGAGAAGAAAAAAGAAATGGTAGAAGCACAGTGACAGTCACGTAAAGTCAACAAAAACTGAAGCGTAAAATCTCAAAATCTTCTAATAAAGAACACAGAACCCAAGGGAGGGATGGGAGGACGGCACGCCGCCACCACACAGGGATCTTAAGGAGAGGGGTGTGGTGGTGCTAGCCGTCAAAGATGTCGTAAAAGTCGCAAAGTCTCAGAGACCTCGAGATTGGAATGAAACCTCGCCTCCCTGCCTGACCACCGAGTCCCCTCTCATATTCGATGCTGCTTGTCTGCCTCCTCACTCTTGCCGAGCACGACGTTTCGTGCCGTGCTGCGATCGTCGCTGAGTGCTCTGGTGCCACGTGCCTCCGCGGGAAGAGGCGTGAGGACCTCTGTTCTGGTGAGGACCTCTGCGTGTTGGACCTCTGCTGTGAGGACCTCTCTCATTCTCTGACTCGCTGGAGTACGCCTCGGCGCGTGATAAATGACCCCTGTGCCGCTGCGCTACAAGATGTATCTCGGGCTTCTGCTTTCCACCATCTCGCTGCCTGCGTCTCGCGCTGCCTCCCTCCAGCCCGGGCGGGGAGCGTGCCGCTGGCGATCAGAGGAACAGACAGTACTCGCTCTCTTTTATGTCCCACCATGCAGAGCGCATCTCTCTCTCTGTTGTGCGAGGCGTGAACCGCGCCATTCGCTCTCACCTGGCAAAGTTGGCAACCCTGTCTGCACGTCTCGCGCGCGCGTGAACAGGGCTCCAGGCCCCAAATGACGTGTGAGTGTTAGATTTGTTTGGTATTGCTAAAAATCTCTGAGGCAGCTGCGATCCCGCCGAGTGGGGACGGGGGTCGGGGGCACTCCGCGCCATGCCTCTGGAAGGCACCGAGAGGTACCAAATGGCGCAATGGTCAAATCAAGGTTTTGTAACGCGATCTGTGCCACAGTGAATGGCCCTAACCCTTTCAACAAAAGTAGCTAGCCAGACGCCCCTCGCCCGCGGCCCGGGGATGGGTGATCGAAATCGTGAATCATGAAATTAGTAATTATACCTGAAATAGCAGAGAGAGAGAGATGAGTGAGCCTCGTGACAAAACACCTCGCTCAGTTCCTACCGCGTCATGACTCCCTTATTCTATTGATCACACTTGAGCTGCTGGGGCGCTGGGGCGGGCACAGACAGAGATAGGCCGGCGTGGCGTGGTGGCAGCGAACACCCCGCCGCCCGCCCGCCTTCCTCCGCGCCCTTCTGACCCCACCCAGCGGGCTTCCGCCCTCCCGCGTTTCAGGCCCCGCTGCTCGAATCTGTGGCGGGCGGCGCCGGCTGAATCCCGAGCAGTGCCCGCGCGCGCGCCAGCTCCGCGCGCAGCTCCTAAGGTAAGGGAAAGGTCAGGTACACTGCGTGCGTGCGTGCGTGCGTGCGTGCGTGCGTGCGTGCGTGTGTAAGGGAGGGGTCGGGGGGCAGCCTGCTCCGCGCGCTCCGCCTGCGGGCTGAGCGCCCGCTCGCCGGCCGCTCGCCCCTTTTGCTGCCCCCCGCCCCCGGCGGGTGCTGCGGGCCCGGCGGCGCCCCAAGGCCGGCGGGTCGGGGAGCCCTGTGTGAGCTCTGCCATGTTGGCGACCCGACCCGCCGCCGCAGCGATCGCGGCCGGGTTGAGCTCTGCCATGGATCGAGACTGCCGGCTCGCGGCGCTCTCCGCCCCCCCGCCCCCCCCCAGCATGGCGCGCACGCCTAGTGGGTAATCTCGGGTGATCTCGGGTGATCTCGGGAGTCTCGGGCAGTCTCGAGCAATCTCGGGCAATCTCGTGTAATCTCGGGTAGTCGTTGGTAGTCTCGGGTGTCTCACGCCTGTCCGCAGCCCATTCGCCAGCCGCGTGCGCGGGCGCGCGTGCGTGCAGCAGTGCTGCAGCAGCAGGACCAGGCAGGCGGCGGTGGCGAGGAGGGCGCCGCCGGCGATGCCGCCGAGCACGGCGGCGCCCGAGCCGCCGGTCAGCCCGAGCGTTTCGACGAGAGAGGGCGGCATCGAGGGCGGTGGCGAGGGCGCGTCGGGCGGCGCCGACGGCGGCGGCGACGGCGGCGGATTGGGCGGCGGAGGGGGCGGCGGCGGGCCGGGCGCG